CCCTGGCACACAGCTCCAGGGCCATGGCTGGCACTGGGGCCACCTGATGGCTACCAACAGCAACGAGACAAAAAAAACCCAGAAAACCAGAGGAACAACTCCACCAAYGCCTTCCTGGAAGCACAAACCAAACACCAGAGCTTTCCCAGCACCCTCCCCACAGAGATGAGGCAGCTCCTTCGCTGGAATTGCTGGAGTTGCTGGAATTGCTGGAATCGCTGGAATTGCTGGAATTGCTGGAATTACTGGGATTGCTGGAATTACTGGGAGGTGGGCACACAGTGAGGGGTCTCAGGGATGGTCAGTACTCACGAGAAGGCAGCTTTCCCCTCCTCCATGTCCTTGCCCTTGGCCCCCGGGCCGGATTTGCCGCACATGTTGACRGCGATGCACATGAGCAGCCCGCACTTGTTCAGGAAGTAGCAGGTGACATCCACGGCCACCAGCAGGGCCACAAACACCACCACGAGGATGCCGATGATGGCAGCAGTGCCCAGGCCCGAGGCAGGGCTGGTGCTGGCTTCAGAGACCGAGGGAGAGAAGGAGAGAAGGGGTCGGGTTAAAGGATGGGGGYGTTAGGGGGAAAATCTGCGCTTCAGTTGTTTAAAGGAAATCCCACCCTCCCCCTGGCAGCCCTGTGCCATCACCAGGGCTCCATCCCACAGTCAATCACCTCAAAAGATGGACCCAGCCATGACCAATCTCCCCAAAAGATGGGCCCAGCCATAACCAGGGCTCCATCCCACAGCAAATGTCCCCAAAAGGATGGACCCAGCCACATCCAGGACTCATCCCACAATCAATCACCCCAAAAGGATGGACCCAGCCATAACTAGGGCTCATCCCACAGCCAATCACCCCAAAAAATCGATCCAGCCATAACCAGGGCCCCATCCCGCAATCAATCACCCCAAAAGGATGGACCCAGCCACAACGAGGGCTCCATCCCAGAGTCAATCTCCCCAAATGGATGGACCCAACAGGTTTCTCCCATCCCCAGGACAGAGCCTGGGCAGCACAGGGCACAATCCCTTCCTGCAGTGCACACTCCCAGCAGGGCTCCCACCCCATCTCCCCCTCCAGAGTGGCCCTGGCATTGCCAGCTGGGCCCAGGGACAGCAAAGCTCAGACTCTGTAGGATTTTTCCTGGTGGGATACAAAGCCCTGGGTGATGCTCAGTGTTGATGATCCCTGATGGGGTAAAAGGGAATTAAACCCCTCCCTGGAGCTCAGATGAGACCCAGCTCTCCAGAATGTGCTCATGGCTCTCACAGTCCCTGGAACCCCAAAACCTGGGAATCCTTTCTCTGCAGAACCCCCCAGAAAAGCACCTTTATCCCCTCAGCCCAATTTAYGTTGATTTTTACAGGCAAAGGCCCTTCCCAGGGCTCCCAGACACAGAAACGCCCTCTGCCACGCATTTTGTTTAAAAACAGGAGGCAGAACGTCCTTAGCCTAAAGCAGAGAAGCGTTATTTCATTTTGTGACCCCGAGATGGATCAAGGACTGCAGATTCCAGCAGGAAAAGTACCCAGAAACTGCTCTGAGGCACCTGACGGACTCTGGGATCACGAGTGCAGTCCCACAGCCCAGCCCTGCCAGCAAGCTGCACAATTACACCAATTAATCACCCTCTGATGGCTGCAGCCAGCGAGGAGGGCAYGGATTTTCTCTCTTTTAATGTGTTCAGGACCCTTGAGTGGGTTATTCCATAATTAATGCTGCTCACGTCAGCTCCCATCCCTGTCCCCTTTTTGGGGAGCAGCTCCTTGGCCAAGGTGATCCAGGGAGAGCATCCCGGGCAGGATCACAGGATCTGAGYTCCCTGGGTGCTTCCAGAGCTGGAATTTTCCCCTCTGCTAGAAAACATCTTCTGGAAAATTCCATTCACTCCAGAGTCCTGTTTTTTGCCTCCTCCCTGGGTTTTCCAGCGTCTCCTGTGAGCCCCTTAAATCTCTGCTCCCCCCAAACCCCAAAGAAGAGCCCCGAGTGCGCCCCAGCCCCGGGAGGAGGAGGAGGATGGAGGTGGGGAGAGGCAGATCAGCAGAGGAACAGCCCAGGATTTGTGCTSTTCTGGGATTTCACAGCTCACACARCAAAACTGGGCCGAGGGAATCGCCTGCAGTTGGGTTTTCCACGCTGCCAAGGCAGCCCTGCCATTTGCAGGAACGTGCAAACCCTTCCCATCAGCTCTGGTTTGATAAATCCTAATTCGTGGAGTGCCTTGAGATCCCAAATCTTTCAGGGACTCCATGACCCCAGGCTGTTTTTTTTTTTTTTCCTTGTAAAGGAATTTTGCTGTTGCTATAAAAGGCAGGAATCATAATGGATTATTCTTTCCACAGCCTGTCCTATCTGATTAAATTAAATTGATCGACAAATACTTTCAAGAACCATTCCCTCCATCCTATAGCTGGATTTATGTTGGATTTAATGAATCTAATATTTAGACATCCCTAAAGGGTTTAAGCTGGGACCTAAAACAGTTCTGTGCACAGAAGAAATGTATAAATAAATGGGCTGTGGAGCAGCAGCTGCTGACCCTGTGTGTGTGGAATAAATGGAATAAATGGAATAAAATGGAATAAATATTGGACATTTCTGATCCAGAGCACAACCAACCCTTCCCTTGATCCCTTTTTGCCACTCTCAGGACTAAGAGGAATAACATTTCCACCGGTTMAAGAAGGAAACACAACCCATTAAAGAACTTCTGGAGTCCTTCAATTCTAAAGAAGTGAAGAATTTATTAATTACAAATTATGTTTTCCAATGGAAAATGAGCTTCCTGCATGACTGGCTTTTCTAAGCACCCTCGTTTCACAGTGCACAACARAATCACCCATGGGTTTCAGTGTCTGCACACAAACTGCCCTGGCACAGAGAGCTCAGCTGGGTTTTTCTGATGGGGTCTCAGCTAAGGAAAGTTCAGGCTCAGGCAGACAAAAAGGAATGGAGAGAAGCAGGGGGGATCCCAGGCGTTTCACAGATCTTACAGTATTTGGCAAAAGGAAMAACGGACAAAAGCAATAAAAATCCATTTTGTGCATCCCGAAACRACAGCCAGAGAGAAGCTCTCTGCTCTCAGTGGTGCCAGCAGCTTTGATTTGCACACATTCCAGTTTCCTTTGAGCAAGGTTTTACAGAAATGGTTCCCCCACAATGTAAAGGAATCCTTCTCTCAGTGCCACAGCCCTGCAGCCACAGGAATTTCACCCTCTGTGCTSGCTCAGAGCCCTGGGAGSTTTAATGGGTGCTTCCCAAAATGACCCCTGAACTCCTGCTGGGTGTGACCTCAATGCTCTGCTCTGTCCCTGTGCCTGACTCCTCCCAAAAGGATGGAAAAGGGACTGCCATGGGATCACGGAATGGTTTGGGGTGGGAGGGACCTTAAAATCCACCCAGGGCCTCTCCCTGCCCTGTCCAGGAACAGCTCCCACTGTCCCAGGGATCTCCAAACCCCATCCAGCCAGGCCTTGGGCACTCCAGGGATCCAGGGGCAGCCACAGCTTCACTGGGAATTCCATCCCAGCCCCTCCCCACCTGCCCAGGGAAGAATTCCTTCCCAATATCCCATCTAATCCTTGTCCAGTGTGAAGCCATTCCCCCTTGCCCTGTCATTGCAGGCCCTTGGAAATTGCCTCTCTCCATCCTCTCGTTGGCTCCTTCACGTAAAAGCACAATTGGGTCACCCCAAAGCTTCTCTTCTCTTCTCCAGGCTGAGCACCAAGAGTGGCCCCAAAATCCTCTATTCTGGAATACTCCAGACCTCTTTCCCAGCAGCTGCAGGAGCCAGCAGAACTCATTTTGAAACCCTTTTGGATAAAACCTTTCCATGCCCCAGAAGCTCGGACACCTGCRGGTGGAGCAGGACGATCCCAAAGCTTCCTGTCCATGAAAAGGTCCAAATAATGCTCTGAAAACAATTCTGAGAGACCCTAAACTGGGGTGATCCTGCAGTGCTCTGCACCCCTCACTCACACCCAGCACCCACAGGTTCCTGGGGTGTGAAAATCCCGGGGTCTGAGCAGCTTCTGCTTCCAGAACTGAATCTGCCTCCTCTCTGAGCTGCTTTTTCTACAAACTCCTTTTCAATTTTACTGTACTCACATCAAGGCCTGGGACCTCAAATATGGACTGCCAGATCTCTGGTATGGGGAGTGTCCCAAATCTGTCCAAATGAGTGGTGAACCCCCAGTTCTGCTCCTTATTTTGATAAAGGAGAAAGGAGAAAGGTTCTGAATCCATCCCATGCTGCCTGGACTCCTGTTTGCTGCTCAGGATGGGGCTCATTTCAGGCACAGAAATGATGTTTCATTTGTTCCTCAGGACTCTGCCACAGAGAATTCTCCCCTGCCCTAAACCCTAAACCTAACTCTGACCCTAACCCAAACCCAAATCCTAACCCAATGCCTAACCTTAAACCCTAAACCCTGACCCTAACCCTAACCCAAATCCTGACCCTAACCGAACCCTAATCCTGACCCTAACCCTAAACCTAATCCTAACCCTAACCCTGACCCTAATCCTCACCCTGACCCTAACCCAAATCCTGACCCTAACCGAACCCTGACCCTAATCCTGACCCTAACCCTGACCCTAATCCTGACCCTAACCCTGACCCTAATCCTGACCCTAACCCTGACCCTAATCCTGACCCCGACCCTAATCCCAACCACACCCACAGGTGCTGCTCTCTCTCCACCCCAAACCACATAAATTTTAATAACTGTGATTTAGGTGAGACACATCTCAGCCTCGGGCAGTGTGGATAACGGGAAACCCACAAAAAGCTGATTCCACATCTACAAATGAACTCCATTAATCCAGTTAGAGGGGAAATCACACCATTTTTTTAGTATTATGATTATTTTGCTGCACTTCAGTAAACTGCAAAGCTCTAATGAAGTGTCTACACTCTACAGCACTGGAACTGAGGGATTTTTGTAAAAAAAAAAGAAATGCACAGGCTTTTGTGTGTGATACCTGCACTGAGTTTTCATTTACAATTCAGACAGAAAARTTCACAACTCATAAGGATCAAGGTCTGAGCAAACACAGCAGAGCAGAAAAGGCAGAGTCAGACACGAGTGAGGGCAGGGTTTTGTTTGTCCCTGGGAGAATTCTGTCAGGAAGATGAACCCCACCCAAGTGAGAGGGTTTGAGACATTTGGTACAGACCCTTCAATCCCATCTGATTTCAGGAGAGCATCAGATGGGATGGATTTCCTATCCCAGTGGATTTCCTGTCCCAAAGACAATTCATTGGGGTTGTTACTGTTGGGTTGTTTTATTGGTGATTTTTTTTGGGGGTGGGTTTTTATTTTTTTTTTGGGGCAGGGGGAGTGATGGGGTGTTGTGGATTTTTTTAAAGAAGAAAAAAGGACAACTGGAGTTTGTTGGAGGGAATTCCCACAATTTGATCACAAGGATGGTTCCACGAGCACGGATTAATCATCACAATTAATCAGGAATATTATCAAGGATCAGTAATAAGAACTCTGCTGGTCAGGGAGCCTGATCCAAACTGACATCTTCTGTTAGAACAGCAGGGAAAGGGATCTCACAGCAGCCACAAACCAGCGTTGGAAAGCAGGGAATGTCAGACAAGGGCTGGAAATCCGAGTGTCCAGGGGCTGTGCCTGCCCTGCTCCACGTGGCCAGGAGCAATCTGCACCCAGGGGAGGGACAAAAACCCAACCACCAAAAGAAGGAAAAGCAGCAGTGCCCCCAGTGTGGTTCCAGCAGATGTTTTATAGTCAGAGCAGCACAGCAGGAAAASCTTCCCGACATTTGAATCCACATCAAACCCCCCAGAGCCATCTGGGCAATCAGCACGATGCTCTCTGACAAATCTTCTCTTGCTTTTTACAGTCTGTGGGTTTGGCTTTGTGGCAGGGGCCTCCTTTTGCACAAGATCAGCACCAGATGTGCAGAGAAATCGGTAAAAAGCAGGATCTTAAAGGCTTTCAACACTGTACCTTCCTTTGATGAAAACAGCAAGCAAACAACACAAAAAAAAATCTTTCTTTACATCCATTTAAAAGGGCAAATTCATTACAAGTAACGAAAAAAAATGTTAAAGAGAAAAAACTYGGCTTAAACCTTTTTTCCTTGTTACAAAATACTGACTCTTTCAAATTAAACATTTTTTTAAAGTGTTTTGTGTTTCTTTTTTTTTTCTTTTTCTTTCTCTCTGAACTGACACGATCCTCTGAAGCAAAGTTATCTCCTTTCACACCTTGGTGGCACCCAGGCCTTCCCAAGCAAATATTGCTTTATTTGACTCTTATTTTTTTTTAAAAGTTTCTAACAGAGCAAAAGCAGAGTCACTGCAGAAAGAAGCAATGAGACAAAGGAGGACGACGTTGATGGACTTCCCAAGGCCGCTGCAGGTGCCAGACAATGGTTCCCAGGAGGGGGGGATTATGGTTGTTTAAAAAACAAATTTGGTGCATGTGGCAAGCGTGGATGTTTCCCGTGAGATCCGAGGTGACCATGGATGACAGACATAGGAAAGGAGTCAGGGCAGAGGGGAGAGGGGAGAGGGGAGGGGAAGAAAGGACGAGGAAGAAAAAAAAGAAAGAAAGAGAGAGAGAGAAAGAGAGAGAGAAAAATAGATAAAAAAAATTAGGTCATAAATACAGAAAACATAAGAATCCAAAGGTTTATTTAATCTCTGTAAATTAAAATGGCTCAGGGTTCAAGGAGCAGCACGTTCAGCACAAAAGGATCAGAAGCTCAGCAAAGCCCAAAGCTGCAGAGCAGGGTCCGAGGGTGGGAGGGGTTTGCAGGCAAATGAGATTCAAATGATGGGACAGGAGGGGCTCAGCGAGAAACACAGGGACAGGGGATCTGGGATCTGAGAGGACAACGCTGCCTTCACACAGGCAAAATGGAAAAAAGAAAAGTGCTGGTGCAGCACAGAATCCACCTGCCTGTCCAAGCCTTTCCCCGGAGCTTGGGGACAGATCCACATTATCCTGGAGAGGCACCAAGGTCTCAGCAATGCTCTGATTGTGCCATGCAGCCTCCCAGTGCCACAAGGATTATAATTATTATTAATATTATTATTATTATGACACCCTCATCCTCCCAGGTGAGGAGAACAAAAGACTYTCCACCACAAATCCACATTTTCCTGCAGGGAATCCCTGCTTGTTGCTGTCAGGCACAGCATTGCCACGTTACAGGCACTGGCTCTGCCTCCTGCAAAGCTCATTTTGAGAAAAAAAAAAMAAMAAAAAMCCACTGAAATGCCACGAAAACAACAAGGAAAGGAAAGGAACGCACTGAGCCTCCTCCCTGCTGCTGTTTGGCAATAAAACTGTGGCGCTGCACAGCAGAGAAAAACCAAACCTGTCCTTGGGAATGTTTTCCTCTGGGTTATCAATTTGGGGATCCAAAGGGTCTGGGAACACCTTGGAAGGCCAGAACGACAAAACCCCTGGAGAAAAGAGTCACAAATGTAGCAATAACCACGTCCAAGCCCAGAAAGCACAGCACCTTCTGAGGCCCAGCTGAATTCCAGCTGAATTCCATCTCCTGGGGCAACCCTGCACTCCCAAAAACTGATTTTCTGAGAGCAAAGTGTGAGTGGCAGCCTCAGATCCTGGTTCCTCCCGTGCTTCACACCAAGCTAAGCAAGGAATGACTTCAGAGAGGCCAGAGAAGCTTCAGTGTGATAAAAAAAGGAGTTTTCCCTGGTTTTTAGAGGGTTCTGGAAATGTTATCCCTGGATTTAAAGGGCTCAGAGGGGCAGCAAAGGTTAGAGCTGTTAAAGATGAGAAGCACAGAGTGAGCTGTTTAATGAGTTACTGAGGGTTCTTCCACCCAAAACTGAGCCCTGCTCATGCACCCCCAGTCTGTCCTGTGCCCCATCCTCCTCCTCCTCACTGGAAAAGGGATTGGSAGTCCCTTTTCCAGCCCAAATCACTCATTTCTGTGCTCAGCAGCATCACCCGCCCCAGCCAAGGGGGATTTCAGCATTCCCACAARGTCTGGGCTGTTCCCTTCCACAGGAATTGGGGATGGGGGAGCAGAGCAAGGACTGAGTGCTCAGGACAAGGGAAAGACTGAAGGAAACTCTCTAATTTCCATAAAAGCAYGAGTTAATTTAGAGACAGAACAAAATCAAACCATTCCCTTCAATGTGGACTGGCAGCACCGATCGTGGCTGTGCAGGGAGGATGTGCCTCAGCCTCCCTCTGCCTTTCACCACCACAAATGGAATTTACAGCCACTCCACCAACCCCATCCTCAGTTTTTTCTGTGCGTCTCCCCCTTCTTTTTTTTCAAATATAGAAAATAAATCCTAACTGTCCTTTCAACAAATTRCAACCAACTCAATTCCAGTTTCCCAGCTGATGGTTCTGTTTGGTTTTCTGCTGCAATTCTCCTCATCCCTCACTTTTTTGAGCAACTATTAAGTACAGTCTGTCTTTGGTTTCCAGCAGCATCCTAAAGCTTTTGAGTTATTTTTCCTCCCCGACACTGAACCGTTGCTGTTTGAAAATTCCTGTCATTTGAGAATTTGAACTGAAATTGCTCAGAGAAAGATTTTCACTGCCTCTTTTTCCAACTGCCAGCAAACTCCTGATGCCTTTATTCCTTCAGAGATGGCCAAACAAGCAGGAAGGGACACTGGGGCAAYCTGCCTTGTGGAAAGCATCACCCTGCAGAGCTGAAGGGTTTGTTGGAGTTGAAAATTTCCCTTTCAGCTCTCAGAAAGCTTTTCCCACCTGCTGCAGTGAGATGACATTAGCTGGGAACAGCAGGACAGGGCTTGTCCTGACATTTCCTGGGAACAACAGGGCAGGGGCAGGAATTTACCCTGACATTTCCTGGGAACAGCAGAGCAGGGCAGGGGCGGGGATTTACCCTGATATTCCCCAAGAACAGCAGGAAGGGGTTTGACCTGAAATTCCCCAGGAACAGCAGAGCAAGGCAGGGCAGGGGAAGGGTTTTGCCCCGATATTCCCCAGAACAGCAGGCAGAAGCTTACCCCAAAATTCCCCAGGAACAGCGGGCAGGGTTTACCCTGAAATTCCCAAGGAACAGCAGGCAGTTTGCCCTGACATTCTCTGGGAACAGCAGGCAGGAGCTTAACCCGAAATTCCTCAGGAACATCGGGCATGGTTTGCCCCGATATTCCCTGGGAACAAGAGGGCAGGGGCAGGGGTTTGCCCTGATATTCCCCAGAACAGCAGACAGGATTTACCCTGACATTCCCTGGGAACAGCAGGCAGGGTTTACCCTGAAATTCCCAAGGAACAGCAGGGCAGGGGCAGGGGCAGGATTTATCCCAAATTCCCCAGAGCAGCAGGCAGGGTTTGCCCTGACATTCCCTGGGAACAGCAGAGCAGGGCAGGGATAGGGGTTTGCCCCAATATTCCCCAGAACAGCAGGCAGGGTTTACCCCGAAATTCCAAGGAACAGTGGGCAGTTTGTCCTGACATTCTCTGGGAACAGCAGGCAGGGGCAGGGGCAGGATTTACCCCAAAATTCCCCAGAGCAGCAGGGCTGGGGCAGGGGTTTGCCCCAATATTCTCTGGGAACAGCAGGCAGGAGCTTACCCCGAAATCCCCTAGAACAGCAGGGCAGGGGGAGGCTTTACCCCGAAATTCCCAAGGAACAGCAGGCAGGGTTTACCCCGAAATTCCCAAGGAACAGCAGGCAGGGTTTGCCCTGACATTCTCTGGGAACAGCAGAGCAAGGCAGGGGCAGGATTTACCCCGATATTCCCCAGAACAGCAGGCAGGGTTTGCCCCGAAATTCCCAAGGAACAGCAGGCAGTTTTTGCCCTGACATTCTCTGGGAACAGCAGGCATGTGCTTACCCCAAAATTCCTTGGGAACAGCAGGCAGGGTTTGCCCTAATATTCCCCAAAACAGCAGGGCAGGGGCAGGGGCAGGATTTACCCCGAAATTCCCAAGGAACAGCAGGCAGGGTTTGCCCCGATATTCCCCAGAGCAGCAGGCAGGGTTTGCCCCGATATTCCCCCAGAACAGCAGGCAGTTTTTGCCCTGACATTCTCTGGGAACAGCAGGCAGGAGCAGGAGCTCACCCCGAAATCCCCCAGGATCAGCAGGCAGCGGTGCCAGGTCGCTCCCCAGGCCGTACATACCTCAGGATATGTACCCAGCCCAACCCTGAGCTCGGGATGGACGAACCCAATCCACACAATGGTTTGGAAGCAAGCGAGCCGTCGGGGTTACTGAGCACACGGGGACAGCTCGGTGGCATTAAGGGGCAGCAGGAATGGCCCCGGCGAGGTGCAGGCTGTACCTGGGATGACGGTGGGCTGGGCTGACGTGCGGAAGGCGTAGTGGGCCGGTTTGGATTTGCCCTGCTGGTTCTCGGCGATCACGTACACYTCGTAGTCGGCGTTCCAGTCCAGGGACTTGAGCATCACGTGGTCGCTGCCCGATGGCAGCCGGATCTCGGGCTTCCACTCGGCTGAGTGCTTCTGCAGGGGGAGGGACGAGGGATCAGGGGTGTCCATGGGGCCAGGAGTGCCATCACCCCACAGAAACACCCCAAGAGCAGCCATGGGATGGGGGCAGAACCATCACCCCATAGAAACACCCCAAAGACAGCCATGGGATGGGGCCACAACCCTCACCTCACAGAAACACCCCAAGGGCAGCCATGGGATGGGGGCAGCAGAACCCTCACCCCATAGGAACACCCCAAGGACAGCCATGGGATGGGGGCAGAACCCTCACCCCATACACACTCCAAGGGCAGGCTCAGGGGGAGCCCATGGGGCCAGCAGAACCCATCACCCCACAGAAAAACCCCAAGGACAGCCATGGGATGGGGCCACAACCCTCACCCCACAGAAACACCCCAAGGGCAGCCATGGGATGGGGCCACAACCCTCACCCCATAGGAACACCCCAAAAGCAGCCATGGGATGGGGGCTGCAGCACCCATCACCCCATACACGGCCTCAAAGGCAGGCTCAGGGGGTACCCATGGGGCCAGCAGAACCCTCACCCCATACACCCCAAGAGCAGGCTCAGGGGATGGGACTGGGCTCTACTCAGTGCCACAGGGCGAGAAGCCGTGGCCGTGAACTGACACACAACGAGTTCTACCCCAACACGAGCCAGAGCTCCTTCCCACAGAACTTTTTCCCTTTCCCTTCTGGAGACACCCCAGTCCCATGGGGATGTGTCCCTGTGTCCCAGTGGGGTTGGACGGGGTGATCTCCAGCCCCGGCTGTTCTGGGGTTCAGTGAACCCATCACATTCTGCTGGCTCTGAGTGCAGAGAGTGAGAGGGGCCAGAGCARCCTCCCCTCCTGCTCAGAACCCTGACAAGAAATCCTCTCAGATCCTCATCTTACCTCTCATTAATTATTTATATTTTATATTAAAAATACATATAAATATACATTACATATAAAATATATGTATTATGTATTATATATTATATATAATGAATATTGTGTATATATATATTAATTATAGTATATATTATATATATTAATTATATATGGTGTATATATATAATGTATATTATGTATATGGTATATATATTATGTATATTATATATATTCTATATAAATATATATATATGTATATATTATTTTCAGGTTATTCTCAGAGGCYAAAAGCTGAAAGCTCTGTACCTCTCTGCCCTCTTTCATATCTCAGCACGTCAAATTTAAATCACCGGAGTGACAGAGATTTCTCTCCTAAATTCACCCCATCC